CAAAGCTACAAAACAGCAAACATACAAAGCTTCAAAGCTACAAAACAACAACAGGTGGAAAACCTCTAGAAATCTCCTAAAAACTGCATTTTTCAGACTTGGCAGCAGCCCTTACGCCCCTCCCCTCTATGCCCCTCCCCTTTAGGCCCCTCCCCCTTAGGCCCCGCCCCCTTACCGTCCACGCAGGCCGGGCGGGCGCGGCGCGTCCCTGCGATCTGGCCCCTCCTGCAGGCGCAGCGCGCCGTCTGGCGGGCGACGGTCCGCCGCGGCTCGCTGCTGTCGCGGTCCAGAGTCACGATCTCACAGCTGCCCGCCGCCAGCCGGCCTGGGGGAGAGGAGCAGTTAGCACGTTAGCATGGTGTTAGCACGGTGTTAGCACAAGATCAGAGCATCAGCACGCCATCAGAGACGCCGTCAGAGACAGAGCACGCTGTTAACACGGTGTTAGCATGGTGTTAGCATGGTGTTAGCACGGTGTTAACATGGTGTTAGCACGGTGTTAACATGGTGTTGGCACGGTGTTAACATGGTGTTGGCACGCCATTAGCATGGTGTTAACAGGCTGTCAAGAGTCATCAACACGCAATCAGGGGCAGAGCACGCCGTTAGCACGGTGTTAGCATGGTGTTAGCACGGTGTTAGGGGGAGAAAACGCTGTTAGCATGGTGTTAGCATGGTGTTAGCATTAGCACGCCATCAGAGTATCAGCACGCCGTTAGAGACGCCATGACAGCTGCCCACCGCCAGCCGGCCTGGGGGGAGACACGCTGTTAGCACGGTGTTAGCATGGTGTTAGCATGGTGTTAGCATGGTGTTAGCATTAGCACGCAATATGAGCATCAGCACGCCATTAGAGACGCCATGACAGCTGCCCACCGCCAGCCGGCCTGGGGGGAGACACGCTGTTAGCACGGTGTTAGCATAGTGTTAGCATGGTGTTAGCATTAGCACGCCATTAGAGACGTCATGACAGCTGCCCGCCGCCAGCCGGCCTGGGGGGACACACGCTGTTAACACGGTGTTAGCATGGTGTTAGCACGCCGTTAGCATGGTGTTAACATGGTGTTAACACGCCGTTAGCATGGTGTTAGCACGCCGATAGCATGGTGTTAGCACGCCGAT